AACCAATGCAGAGCCACGGCAGGAGTGCACTTTGGAAGGGCACGGGCTGCAGGGCAGCTTTCAGTGCAATTTGCACTTTCAGATCCATTGCCTTGCCCGGGCACCTCATCCCTCGCAGCATCCGTGGTTTGGGGCAGGGCTGGCAGGGCAGGGCAGGGCAGGGGATGGAGGGGCTGTGCCCCAGGGCTGTGCCCCTGGGCTGTGTGCCCCTGGGCCAGGGCTCAGGCTGTGGGCAAGCCCCAGGCCCCAGCAGGAGCCCCCACACCCCTGTGCCCAGCACTCCTGAGATCCAGCACAGCCCCTGGGCACGCCAGGGTGTGGGGGACCAGCCAGGGCAGATTTGCCCTGTGCAAAAGGGATGAATGGTTTTTACCAGGCTCATGCAGTCTCTATGTGTTTTGACCTGTCAGGAGTTGTTTCAGAGCAAGTGTACCTTTCCTATTTTTTTTCTTTCTTTTTTTTTTTTTTCCCCTGCCTAAACAGTGAATTCCATATCAGGTACTAACAAACATGGCTCATCTCAAAAGAATTCATAATTAACTGAAAGAATTCATAATTAACTTCCACTGCAATTTGTTTGGGTCTTTCTTTGCATAACATGTGAGTTGTGGTGGGGGTTTGAAATGCTCTGAAGTGTACAGTGTCTGTGTGTGAGTGCTGCTGAGCCTACCAAAAGCTAACCTGCTGTAACTGCACAGTGTGTGTGTTTGTATTTTAGAGTTCTCTGACAGACCTGTTTTTCTTTTTCTCTTTCTCTTCCTTGTCTTCTTTCTGCATTGGCAGAGCATCTTGGATTTGAATTAAAGGGTATGGAACAACCATTCATTTATTAATCAGAAGCCATTAAGAGCTTCCAACATTATATTTATGGCTTTAATGGGATGATTAAAAAATCAGCTGTTCTGTTCTCTTCCCTGGCACCAAGATAGATGTTTGGATTGAAAAATAAAACCAAAAAACAAAAAAAACAAAAACAACAAAAACCAAAAACAACAACCAAAACCAAAACAAAGCAAATCACAAATTCTAAACGTAAACCTAGAAAAATGCAGGTGTATTTTTAGCAGCACTTTTTTCTTTGTTCCAAGCAGCAGCCTGGTGTGTGTGGCATGACTGGGATGTTACAATTGCCATACATCTCCATTCAGCATGCTTTTGTGTATTTAGCTGAAAACCTGGAGTCTTGTGTCCATCCAAAAGGTTGCCAGCAGGCACTGCTTGGGAATGGGCAGGAATTCCAGGAATGGGAAGACAAGTTCTAGAAATATCAGGGCTGGTGTAGAAATTGCCATCCCAGACACAATAACCTCCACCAGATCCTGCAAAGGGTCGGGATGAGCTTTGCCATTCCTCCTCCCAAAATTTAGCAGCTCACTTTGGTTCTTGAGAAGGATGAAATTGTTCCAAGGAAGATGGCCAGAGACAAGTTAGTCTGGAAATCTATCCCAGGGAAGTCAGTAGCTGCCCATGAGAGTGGAGGGTGTAATGCTGAGCACCCCAGTGGCAAGCTTGGGAAAACACTGCAGTAAGTGAAATGCTTTTAAAAATATCCCCTTTGGGCATTTACCTGCTCATAATCATATTACTTTCTTTCCATTCTCCTCAGTCTGGTTTTAGATATATATCAAATTATCCCTTGAATAAGCAGCTGGGAAATCAAACCCTTGAGGCAAGTTTTCCCTGGAGTGAACAAGCCAAGGGCAGGGAGGGCTGGTCAGGAGGGAGCAGAGAGATTGGGTAACCTGGGATAGTGGAAGGGGCCCCTGCCCATGGCAGGGGGGTTGGAAAGATGAGCTTTAAGGTCCCTTCCACCCCAAACCATTCAAGGATTCTGTGATGATTCTATGACTGATCACTTAACTTAAAAGCATTGGCCTGGCAGTGTCAACCAGAGCAGATCTTCACATGAAGATGCTTCAATTCCCTTTGCTGCAGGTATGGGGACACCAGTCTTTCAGTCGTGGATCCTAAGTTCCTTCTGAGGTCCCTGAGGTGGAGGGACATTCACTAACTGAAGCTGGAGAAATGTATCTCCTCTAATTTTTTTGCACGTCTGATCTCCCAGGAGTGGTGTGCGTCCCCCTGATGCAGAAAATGTGTGAATTTTAACAGACTCATGTATTTATAAAATTCATTTTAATTTTAATAGGGCGCTTCAGAGAAAGCGGTGCTGCTAATGCGAATACACTTGAGCAAACTTTAAAATTGAGGATTTTTGACATCCCTTTTTTTGTTGACCTCTTGTCCTTCTCCTCATCCATTCTCAGTGCCATCACAGAAGTGCACACATCCTGTTGCCAGTCTCTCCTCTGTCATTTGTCTGTCCCTGTCATGCGTTGCTGTGACACCACGGCTGGGCTGTGGCTCTGTGTGGCACCACATGGTTTGTCCATTGTGTTTGCTGCTGTAGAAGTGATGCTGCTGATGAAGACGTGGTGTTTGTAGAGAATAGAGGCACAAATGGGCCAGTCCTGCTCTGGGATTTACCTGCTCAGATCCAGCATTGCAGTGTGCACTCTCTTATTTCCTTTGTGTTGTTGTTGAGATGGTTTTGTGCCATGTGAAGATGTTACTGAGCGTCAGCTTTAATGAGATGGTGGGAGCCAGGCTAAATTACTATCAGCAGATCATTCAGTTTTTAGTTTGCAGCAGTGATGCACAGCTCACACTTCACTGCTTCGTGTAGCAGAGCTGTCAGCTCGAGACAGAGAGGCCAAATCTGCATTTCTGATGAGCTGAAACATCCCCAGTGCAGGTGAAGGTTCAGGACAGTCAGACACACCAGAGTCAGGGTCCCATACTGACATGATCACCAGAACAAAGGCTGGGATTTGAGCCTTGGCCAAAGAATTTTGTCCTGTTATAGGTAAAAAACCCAGACAAATAAACAAACAACCCCCCCAAACAAACAAACAACAAAAAAAACAAACAAAAAACCCCCCATAGTTTTAATGTCTTTGCTTTTTCTTCCTCCTCCGTGATTCAAAGGGAATGATTTATGCTTAGGGAAGAGAAGTTTTTGTAGCAGAAAGCGTTGCTATTGAAGAATTTTTGGAAAAATTTGCTTGATGGATGAGTCCATGCTGAAAACTGACCTCCCTCCCAGCCTTTTTTTTTTTTCTTTTTGCTCTAAAGTATTTG